TTTGACAGTAAATGGGGCCCAAATGGGGCTCCCATTTACTGAAATACCATGAATTTCGATCCCCCATTCCAAACGTGAGTACCCCAGGCCATTTCCGTTACAATATCTTCTAGAAATTATCGAAAAATTTTTTTAAATATTTTTCTCGTACCTTCCAAGTGGGCCCCTATTACCTCTTAAAAAGAATGACGCCAATTTTGAATCACCCTGTATAATTGCATTTGCGATTTTGGCTTTGACAATAATTTTTTATTTATTTTAAGAAAAAGAACAGCAATGTCCAGATGGGCGTAAAATTGAAACCCTTCGAAAATTTAAAACCTCAATTTTCTCGGATTTTCGATCGTAACTTCAAATTATCGAAAATTTTTATATTGAAAAGTACAAAACTGTTTTTTTTCCGTTTCGGTTTGTGGTATTTTCAAGCAACTTCTACAAAACTGCCAGCACGGAATTGATTTTACGACATTTTCAACCAAGGACCGGACCGAATCGAATTTAAAATTTAGGCTCCAGTACGGTTCCGGTTTAAAAAAATATTTGTCAATTCTGTTCAGTTCCGGTTCCGTTTCTTTTTTGGTTAGATTTTGTTCCAAAATTTATATAATTCAACGAACAAGGACAAATATAGAGGCTGTTCAAAGTTGTGTGTGGTGACGTCAGCTGTTGGTTTGGCGCGCTAAATGAAAATTCAAATTTAGGTTGCTTTTAACTTCTTTTTAAGTAGCATAAAATACAAAAAAAAATCGCAGAACTATTAGTTGACCATAAATAAGCAGAATAAGGCAAAACAAAGAAAAATTACCACATGCATACCGGCCAAAGGCTCCTAATTCTTGAACTTTATCGGTTAGAGGATTGTCTAAACATGTGAAAGATCTAATGCAGACGATTTGGCTTAACAATCAATTGTAAAATAAAGATTAAAGAGAAATAAGAACTAAAATACAGTCAAAACCCTTATATTTGAACAAAACTGGACATTGGAAAACAGGAGGAAATTAGTAGGCAAACGAATCCCTCAGACTAGCCGCCTCAATATAAATCTAACACTACTAAGCGACCCCCCGAAACAATATTTTTAGCTCACGGTATTTCGGGGGGCTGTTCCAGTTTTCCGACGTGTCGTACTGTTCAGCAGCCTGCCGTTCCAGCTCTTGAAACACATTGGTGTTGGATGCGGCGTACTGTTCCAGTGCTTGCTGTTCCAATTCGTCCGAAGACACGCCAGTAACTGGAACAAACGGCTCCGGATCATCCAGCAAGATACTTTGATCCACAGCCTCATTGGTTGCCTCCCCTTGACTGGACCTGGCAGGTCTGCACTGAGTTTCACTAAGAGAGTGGGTAATCCGCGATTGCAAGACAGGGCTGGAAGCTGGAAGCCGGGCAGCCAACAGATTAACTGTGGGATGTTGACTGATTTTAACCGAAGGATGTTGAATGTTGAAGAAAGCCGTCGAAGGAAGCACCATGGGGCGGTAACTGGGGAACACCCCTCTCTGATAGCTGAAGAGGCAGTTTGGCAGAACAAGAGGCAAACAGCTGGCCTGTCTAAAATTCAGCAAGTGGTTGGAAAACAATCGGGGGTTTAGAAACTGGTAGCTGGAGTAGATGGGGGGCGTGCAGGAGAAAGTTGAACTGGAAGGTGTAGACGATTGGCAGTAATTGGACGAACAGTGAAAAGCCTGCCGACTCTCAGCAGTGGTTTCCGTGCCAGTTTCACTCCTCTGAACAGTGGGAGGCTTGGCTTGGAAGCCTATACTCTCTGCAGGTGGGGATGAGCCCTGCAGGACAGCCGAGTAAAGCCTGCGATGCGTGGACAGTTCTATAGAACTGCTGGAAGCTTCCAGCCAAGACCTAGTCGACTGGTTTTTGAAGATCCAGGTGTTTTGGTCCTTGAGGGCCTTGGTCAGTGCCTGGAACAAACGCTAATCATTCTAAAGGCTGCCCGGCAGCTCAGATGAGCTTCTTGACTTTTATCTGGCACAAATTGCCCTCTGAATTGGTCAAGACATTCAGCCACTGGCTCTCGTCCACGTTCTCATTGAGGGCGGCGAAAATCTGAGAAGTTGCCGACTTGAACAGGATCAAATGCTTGGTCTTCAGCTCTGGATGCCAGCCGTAGTAGGGAAAGTGTTCGCTATCCCACAGCTTTTTTATGTCCCTAGAGACTGCGAAATGAGAGTGAGGAGTGGGATCTAGACTGGGTTGAAGTCAAACTACCTATTTTCAGCTTCAGGGCCATTTGGTCGAAGGAGCGGGCATCCAGAAAAGGCGACTCGAACGACTTCTCACAAAAGGCCTTGCGGCAAGGGAAAACGTCGTCATGTTCACTGCAACCTTCATAGTCTTCACCTCCTGAAATCGACCCTGAATTGCTGAGCACTTGTTGCTTCTCAAACGCTCACCCATGCTCAGAAACGCAAACAACAGATCGTCCACATCCTCCAACATCCAGGGCTCCTTGACCTCGTCTGGATCGAATGTATCACACAGCCTCTCAAAACTCATCACCATTGGGGAGTAGGACAGTTCGCGCGCCTCATTGTACTCATAGTTGGCATATTGAGCCAATTTGCTCTGGGGAATACTGTCCCTGACTGTGCGCGGACTTAATTGTGACCACTTGGAGCTGATGGCATGCACGTGGCGAGCTCTGAGATACAGACTCTGCAAAGGCAAGGGGAAGAAGAGGCTGTGAGGGATGAGGACACAATAGAAAGAAGTACCATATTGGCCTTCTGATAAGCACTCAGATCGTTGGACCATGTGGCGTCCGCTTGATAAGCCACTGCCCACAGCGCATCCGTTTGGGCCTCAGAACTGGACATGGCGGCTCTCTGACACCCGTTCAAAGCAAAGGAAATGCCATTTTCAACCTGGATTTAGGTGTGGTCGGTGTTTGTAAGGAGGCGAGTTCAGAAATTAGGTGTACAGAGATGGATGGTTTGAACTTCCATTGTGCATCGTAATTGCGTTTTTTGTTAGACTACAATACGTTGGTTGATACTGTTGGGTTTCACCAAAATTGGGACTCTAGGAGGATGTCACGGGACAGTTGGGACACAGGAGTACAGGGTCATTCAGGTTCCACCATTCGATTTCTAGGGATTCTCATTTTTGGGTAAGTAGAGGTCTATATTATTATTAATGTACAGGGTGGGCCAAATTGGGCACTTTTAAATAGAAACTCCCATGTCTAAAATATATTTTTTCAAAACCGTATGTCAATACATATGTATATCTAACAGTTTTAGAAGTACATAGTCCTTTCCCGCAATTTGCACTTTTGGAAAGGCTCCTTAACTATTTTCCTGTGATTTCCTCGGCTGTCGTCTCTCGGTCCCCAGTCTCCATGTTTTTCTTTCATTGCGCAGCTTTTCGTTCAAGTTCCTTGATATCATTGCATCATCCACGATATTCCTCCAGCTCCTTCTTGGTTCTTCTTCCTTTTTTCGGCGGCGTTCATTGTTCCATTTGTTCTGCATGTCCGAAGCGTACTAACTGTTTTTTTTCGCCTCATCCATAATGTCCTTTTCTATGCCGATAAGCTGCCTGGTAATTTAATTTCTGGTTTTGCCTGTTCTGAATTTCCCATAACTTCTTCTTAAATAATCCACTTCTGTGGCCAACACTTTAATATATTTGCCTTGCTTAGATCCCATATTTCCTCCAGGAATTGCACTCCTTTAATCACACCGTTTTGCAGTTCGAGATCCTTACCAAGGCCTGCTGCTAAGTATTCACACTTCTTCTTGCCATGCAGCTCAGATCTTGTTCGTCATCCACTACCTGGTCATTTGAAAAAAAAGGCAGTGACCTCGTGGCAGAACCGGAGTGTCTCCTCTCCCACTAGTGGTTGTGTGGCTTTGATTAGAGATTGGTTTATTTCCAGGTTTTGCATTTCCATCTATAGTCGTGATGTGGGGACACTGTCATAAGCTTTATCTGAATCTATTAGAGCGATATGTGTTTCTCGGTCACGTTGAGTACGTTTTTTAACGGTCAGTTTCAATGTGAAGAGGTTATCGATCGTCTATCTGCACGCTGCTAAGTCTCCTTTTAGGCATCTTCATACAGAGTTCTTTTGCTTTTGTGTTCGTTTAGATGGTCCGTGTCTTATAAATTCGGGATGTATTCCGTCAGGTCCTCCTTCTTGTGCCATACTCTCTCCGAGAACGGAGGCGACCCCTCACGCATACTCACATACTGGCAAGCCGATGTGTGCACCACCACACCACTGTGACCCCCGCCATGGTGCATTAATGCTATTTTGAGGTGTATGCGGTTCGCATTGAGCGCTTCTTGATCTTCTCTGATGTATTGCGGTTGCTGTTCTTCCAATAGGTGTTTAAAATGTTTTGTCCACTGTGAGTTTGTTAAGCCAAACAGACTAGTTGCCTGGTTGTTGCATGTTCTCAGTGCTTTTATGGTTTTCCAGGCCTCCGAACTTTGTGTGCCTCCTATCTGCTGGTCTATGTAGTCGCATCTTTTAATCCAAAAGTGGTTCTTCTTCTTTAATACTTCGGCTTTTACTCTTTTGTTTGCTTGCTTATTTTCTTCTATTGTTGGTGCATCCTCCGTCTGTAGGAATTTTTCGTCATACATTTGTTTTTCTCCTTAATTTGTTTCTCTATAGCCTCGTCCCACCAGTATGGTTTACTTTTCGTATTCTGCATTCCAAGAGATTCTTGGGCTTCCTTCGTTATACAGGCCTTAATGTGTTGGTATTCTTCAGTTGCTTTATTGGTTTGAGTTAATTTCTCCTCCAATCTCTTGCAGAACAGGTATTTTGTACTATCGTGTTCTGGGCTTTCGAGATTATATTTCATACTGGTTATTGATGTCCCGTTATTGTTTCTTCTACATATATTCCTACCACTTTACTATTGTGTTGCTTTCCCATTCTTCCGTTTAGGTCTCCAGCTATTATGATTTCATGATGTTTCGGTATCTGGTCGATGATGTTTCTTAGTTCTTCTTCAAAGGTATCTTTCGTCTGAGCTGTAGCATCGTCATTTGGAACATAGACTCCTATGATCGTCAAATTTATTCTTTTCATTTGAATCGTCAATTTGAACAAGGTAATTGAAAATTGGAGTCTTGGCTTTTTCTCGAAAAGATATTGATAGTTGAAAATCAAATTTGAACCTTGTTGTTAAGTATTATTTTCAAAAGGTCCTATGTTTGATTGGTAGTTTATTCAAGTACTTAAGCAGTCGAAAAGAAAAACTAGGATGCGTATTTACCTCCTTCAAGTTACGAAAAATGTTCATATTAAAAAAGTATTCTTCTACAATTTTTTGATGAAAAATCAAAGCGGCAATGATGTTTTTTGTCGTTGACACTTAGTTGCAGTTGTAGATAGCCTTTGTCAATAATAACAAGCATGTCTCAAACTGCGACTTATTTTGGAGTTCCTTTCCTAAAATGTACACCAACAGCGAATTTGCTAAAATGCTACAGTAACATAGCAGAAGCTGTAAGAACTTACACCAGCAAAGGGATGGAGACAATGGACGAGTAGCTGATGGAATTGACGCAGATGATGGACGATCTAAAGGTGCTAAGGTTCCAGACCTAGAGGAACAGGGATTGGAACATGCCTTCCGTAATGCTCCGCGTCATTGCACAATAACTAACAATTTTCCAGGCATCAAGGCTTAAAGCCCGTGTCCTATGATAATAAAAATATATAATATTATCTGTCTTAAAATTTAAATTCTATTAATCACACTTAGCAGACAGATAAATCTCACAACACGCAGAGAGTTCCACACGACGTCACTCAAATCGACGCAATATCCTACCTTGTATTCAATGTATCATGATTCTACAGATAACAGGTAATAGATCGGAAGGTGCCATATAAGGCCTAGTTCTCATAAGCGAATTTTCCGAAAATAATACCGAATTTTCGGACAATTTGACAGGTGTCGGAAAAAGTTGAAATTAAATAATTCTCATCTGCGATTATTTCTTGCTGAGAAAAAGCAATAATTTTGACTCATCGTGTTGGTGACAATGACAGCGATTTTAACCTAAACTTTTACAGTTTTTAGTAATATGAGGTTCAACTTTTGACAATAAATTATCAAATAATTTTTTCGACATTCTCATGTAATTGAAATGTTTTTCTCGATCTTGAAGATGCATTTCTTGAATCAAATTATCAAACGCTCCTTGTTCCGGTCTTCGTTGGAAAATCTCTCTAACAAATCCATATCCATCGTTTTTTCATTATTTTCTTTTTCTGTTGAATTTACCGGATTTATTTTCACACAACTGTTTTAAGTGCGTATAAACGGCCACACACACTCATACTCTCAATCGAAATGATAAACAGTAATTATAATATTCTGCATCCATTCTTGAAAACTGAACATCAAGTAAAAGGACAAAAGGTTATTCAATTAAATTGAATTAACATAACCCATAAAATCCCTCCGAATTTCCGAATAATCGGAAAAAGTAGGAATAATTTCAACTTTTTCTGACATCTGTCAAGTCGTCCGATTAGTCGGAATTTTTTTCCGAAAATTCTGCGAGAACTAGGCTTTATAAGACAGCTTCCAATCTATAAAGCCCGTGTCTCATGCATCCGTTTGTACGATGATACGAAAGTGTTGACAGATGATGACGATCACAGATGACAGATCTCCAACCAATAGAAACACTTTCGTATCATCGTACGAACGGATGCATGGGACACGGGATTAACCTGTGATCTGTGGATCTATGGTCAGCTGGTAATTAGGGAAAAGCAATCATCCTGGAACTTTATAGCTTTTAAAAATAAAACAAAGTTCGGTGCTTCTGTCGTTCGAGTCTCTCCGTATTTGTAGTTTTGTCTATTCTTATATTAAAGCACACTTCAAATCAAGCACTGTCAGTGAAACTTTTCCTGAGTAGATCGTAAATTAAGGCAAAAAACATTTACAAACTTTTGAAATTTGGCTTTCCAAAACCACTTATGTATGCACGAAAATAAGATTGTCCGGTGCTATTTGCTGCTAAATCGTGTTTTAGGTATGAGCAATTCATAACTTCAAATGCAAAATTGTCGCTAAGATGCATAATAATTCTGTTTTTCGCAAAAGTTTGAGCAGCTTTCTGAAGTCGCCAATGATTGAGGTCAGCAGTCAGATGCTGAATTATTTATATTTCCTTTGCATATCATGTCATATCACCGTATTTCCATGGTATGATAGGTATCCAATGGAAACACCGCTCGAAATTTAGCCTGAAAATGGCGATTTTCTTCAAAGTTTGTGAGTGTTTTTTGGCTTAGTTTATGGACCATCCAGGAACATTTTTACTAAGTGCTGAATTTAAAGTGTTCTTTAAAATAAGAATTAAAAAAAAACTACAAATTCGGAGGGACTCGAACGACAGAAGCACCCAAAGGAGATCGGCCATTGATTGTTAACTCTTGAGATACTTGTAGTGTGTAGTGTTGGAGGGACTGCTTTAACGTAACTATTTGAAACAACATATTTGTTTGTTGCTAGAGTGGGTCTAAGAACACTGGGTCGTGTATGTGTAAATACTTCCGAATTCAAACACTTGGTTGCAGGTAAGCACACGGTTTGAAACCTTAACTTAACCTCAATTTGCATTAAGAAACACCTAACACATTTTAATTTAAACTATGGCGCGCTTTGAAGCACCATGCGTTTCGTCCCGGGCCTACCTATTGGACTCGTCAGTAATGCCGGCGCCACACGATGCTACGAACACCTTCCAACGTTGGAGGCTGGACGGTTCGTCGCATCGTGTGGCCGACTTTCGAACTTTGAGCTACGAA